CTGCAGGCGTGCCAGGCCAGGAGGGAAAGCGAGCGTATCAAAGCGCGCCGCAGCGCCCTTGGGGAGGAGGTGAGGCTCCCGTTAAGCCTCCATGTCTGCTGGCACCCTCTCTTGACAGGGAAAAAGCTAGGCCCAGCAAACCAGGCTCTATCCCAGTTCAGAGCCCCCCTCTTTCTGCTGGCTGTGACTGGGGTCTAAGCTGTGAGAACATGGCTGGAGTTACAGCCCCACTTCAAAAAAGTTTGAAGGCCCAGAAATCTAATAGCTGCCATTTATTGAAAACCAATACCAGGCAGGGCTGGGATGTATGCCATGTGTCATCTCCTTAGCCTCGTAGCAGCTCCATTAAGTGCTGGTAACACCAGTCATCCTTTTCACAGATGAGGGGGGCTGAGATCATAGAGGCAACTTGTCCAAGGGCTCTCAAGAGAAAGGGCACATCCTGCACTTGGACCCAGATCCCTAATTCTAGGCTCAGCTTTTACACTGTGCTGATCTGGCTCCATGGTCATAGTTTGCTTTCAGTACGCACAGTGGCTGCTAGTTCTGTTACCCAGCCTCACTGCGGCCTCATCCTCAGTAGGAGGACTCTCCCGCCCAGAGCTAAGCCCCTCTCTGCTCTGAAGGTGCCTGGTGCCTATAAACTCTACCTCCAGGAGCCTGGAGATCTGTGCCAAGTTAGCAGCCACCTATGTGTTACCCAGTGTCCCTTTGTGCAAGTGATGGGCATCTATGTAGCATCTAACAAGAGTGATAAAGTGGGTGGTCTTTTGGACCAAGTCAGGTATGCAGGTGACACAGGGCCAGGAAGTGTGCGTGAGAGTACCCCAGGATATCAAACACACACACATACGGACTCAGTGTTGAAGAAAGCAAACACCAGCTACACTGAAGCTGCCTGCCTCTCTCATCTCCTCTCCCTGCCTCCCTGGGAGGCACCTAGGGGACATTTTGGCTTTCCATGTGCCTTTTCCAGGTTGGTAGACTAGGGCCACGTGATGCTGGACGTTTGCAGCAGACAGGACTCGAGGCCCTGGCCCAGGCTAGCGCGAGACCCAGCACAGTGTGCCCACGACAATCCAGGCTTTCCAGCCTCCAAATGTACCTCAGAGAGGAAGCCGCACATTTGATTTTTTTTTTTTCTTGGCTCCATATTAAAGAACAAAGCATGGGAACTGGACAGGCCCCTCTGTAAACAGAAAACACATGTTTTCTGAGAGAATGGGCTCTTCCTTTCCTGGTTTCTTCCCCTGTGGGCAAAGGCCTCCTTAGGCCTCCTGGCTGGCAGAGCAGGGAGGCCTCAGACCCAGGGCAGAGACGAGGCGATTCTTCTTTTCCCCGACTCAGGGAACAACACCACCTTCAACGGAGGAGGGATGGACTGTCAATGGGTCCCCACAGTAGTGGGGTGAGCCTGGGGTGTGGGCTCAGGAAGGAAGCCTCTCAGGGACCTGGCAGGATTTGGGCAGGTTGGGAGGGAGAGTCTGGACCACTCGTATCCTCCAGGCACCAGAGTGACCTTGGGTTCTACCGGAGCTGGCTCCAGAGGGCTGTGTGTTCCTTGGGGCCTGCGAGTCACACACCGGGCAGAGGCTTCTCTAACTCAGAAGTGAGGCTGGGGCCTGATGTCTGCAAAGAGCAGCCACGCTGAGATTGAGTGCCCAATGCTGTGTGACCTCAGGCAAGTTTCTTAACCTCTCTGAGCCTTAGGTTTCTCCTCTATAACATGGGGATAACAGTTTTTGGTTGTTAAGGGTTACATAAGATGGATATAGCCCCGTCAGACACATAGGAGCCGATGAATAAGTGAATGAAATCGATCTTTGTCTCAGTTTTAGTGCTGAGCTATTTCTACAGCCTGAGAGACCTGTACGGACACCTAGGCCTCCCGTCCCCCAAGGAGCACCTGCGTGCCACCGGGCACTGGCCGAGTGCCAGGGCGCAGCCACCCCCAGACCGGCTGCAGCACCTCTTTGGGAGCAGCCGTCTGGGGAACGGATCATTCTTTTGTATTCCCCCAGCAGCCTGATCTTTGTCCCCAAGGGGAGATTTGATTTGGAGAAATAACAAGAGTCCCTTGGGCCAAGTCTGAGTACATGCGTGGAAGCCAAGCCAGGGCCCCCTGTGGCTCCTGGCTCGGCGCTGAAGGGGTTTGGAAGGAGAACGTGGACCGGATCGTCTGGACTGGCCCGCACTAGCGTCGGCTGCGTGTGAGTGCCAGTGTGCATGCGTGTGAAAGCATAGATAGGCACACGCATCCGAGCTCGGTGGATGAACCGAACCAGAGCCAGACTAATTAGCACGAGGCTACCTTTCATCTCTCAAGATTTCCATGAATCTTTGTCGGAAAATTCCAGGCGTTTCTGCTGCAGGCAGAGGAGTGAGGCAGGGAAGCTGTCCGGGAAGCAAATGGACTTAGGGGTTGGGCTTCCTCCGAACGCTGCCCCTCGCCGCTGTGCAGCCGCTGGCTGGTCACTTTGGCCCTCGGTTTTGCCGTCTGAACAATGCGGATAGTGATGCGAATCCTTAATACGAGAAGCAAATGGAGGAAAATGGACCTGAACATGCCTGGAAGTCCGGGCCCCACGCGCACAGACACCCTTTGGCCTGACACTTCCGCTTCTGGGAATTCAACCTCAGGAAGGCAGCGTAGCCACACAGAACAGTGTCAGTATCGAGATGTCCTGAGCGGCATTATAACAGCAAAACCTCTAAAGAGACATGTCTGACAACAGCGACAGGCGTTTTAACCCACCCGCAGGATGGACTACTCCACGGCTCTCGGGCGCGTGACAGAGAAATGACACAGACCATGCCCATTGGGTGCGTACACCTCACCCTGTGACACTGCTGGTTAAGAATATTTTAAAATCAGCCTTCACAAGCCTCTACTCACAAGAGCAAAACATCAGAAAGAACCCAGTCGTCCACCAACAAACAGGTCAATTGTGATAGGCATAACGATGGGATATTATAAATCAATGCAAAAAACAAGCCATTGACATTCAGCCGTAGAATATCAATTCCCCTGAGCCAGGGTCCATACTGTACGATCTCATGTATATTAAGTGAAATCAAGGTAAAACTATAATGACAGGATTCACATCAGTGGTTGCCTGGGGCCTGGGAGGCGGGGACTCGGGGACATTTTGTGATGAATATTTTCTTTCTTGATTGTAGTGGTGGTTACACGGGTGTATGTGTTTGTCAAAACTCATCGAACAGTATAAGTGAAAGGGATCTTACTGCATGGAAATTAGACCTCAACGAAGTTGATTTTTAAAATAATGGAAATTTAAAATTTGTTTTTCAGATCCTGTAGAGAATAATATTTAATGACATAAAATGCTCACAGAATATTAAAGAGATTCTGAAATACCCTACAGTATGATTGTGCACATGCATGCGCGTGTGCTTGCACGCACGCACGCACACACACATACAGTACATATACATATAATTTGGAAAATATACCAGAGGAATTTCAACAAAATATACCCAGTAGTTATCTCATGGGTAATTTCTGTTTTCTGTGCTTTTCTGTATTTCCAAATTTTCTATAACAAACACTTGTCTAAAATAAATAAATTAAATAAAACACACACACACACACACACACACAGTACATATACATATAACTTGGAAAATATACCAGAAGAATTTCAACAAAATATACCCAGTAGTTATCTCATGGGTAATTTCTGTTTTCTGTGCTTTTCTGTATTTCCAAATTTTCTATAACAAACACTTGTCTAAAATAAATAAATTAAATAAAAACGAACATCTCTCTCTTCCTTGCTTCCAGCTGCAGCAGGCCAGGGACTCGGGGCTGGGCTCCGGGACAGGACAGCGAGGGACAGCGAGGGTGCCCCGGTCCAGCGAAAGGGAACTGAATGCTTGCGGGGAGCTGTGAGGATGGCGGTGCGGGGTGCAGGGCTGCCTCCCCTGGTCCCATGGTCTGGCTTCTGTCCCTGGTTAGTTTCCAGGGCCGCCGTGCCCACTGGGCACTGCTGATGCAGAAGCCCTGCCCCCAGGCTGGCATCGGAGGCCTGGAAGCCAGACTCTCCCGTTTGGAGTGCCTGGGCCCTGGGGCTCTGGGCCCCTCTCCCAAATGTGCCAGTCTCCTGTGCTACCCTGGGCAAGGGGTGGGGTGGGGGTTCTGATCTGTGCCCCTGTGCCCCTGTCCCTGCCTGGGGAGCCTTCCTCCGTGAGACTTGCAGGGACTGGCAGGGGTGGGCAGATCCTGTGCACTGAGCTGTAGAGCACGTCCTGCCCATCCTGTGGCCCTGTGAGGTTGGGGCTACTGTGTACCGCCCACATGCTCTCCAGATTCAGGGAAGCAGAGAGAAGGGACTGGCCTGGAGTCACCCAGCCAGTAGCCAGTGAAGTTGAGACTCAACCCCACGCCTGGATTCTCCTGGCATTCAAGCTTCAGTTTCCAGGAGTCTCTGGGCCCGAAACAGCTCATTGATGCAGTATGGGTGTGGGGTCAGGGACCCCCAACGGGCCTCCACCCCCAGCAGGCCCCTCCCCTTCAGCCAGCTAGCCTCACAAAGGTGCCAAAGAGGAGACCTTGGGTATGGTTTCTCCCACTGCCTCACTGAGCAGATTCTACAACAGACTGTGGATATTAAAAATAAGAGCCCGAAACTGTTAAAATACATATTTTTTTAACCAAATCACAAATGGGAAAGATGAGGCAGCAGCAGGTTAAGGACACTTTGTGATGTGCAGTTTTTATCAATCAGCACTTTCGTGACTGTATGTGTCATAAACGTATGGCCCTTGTGAACAGGCGGTGATGGAAGCTGTGGTTTTCCGCATGTGACAATGCAGTCCAGGTACGGTCCCCTGGATGAGTCCACAGCCTGGGGGTCGCTAGTCCTGCTCAGATTCTCCCGCGGGGCCTCACCAGCATTCCCATTTAAAAATAAATTGATGAGATAAAAGAAAAAAAAGGTTTAAAAATGTAATGTACTTGTATGTCTATTTATAGAACTGTAAAGAAACAAACTGAAATCACTGGCCGAAGGCTTTGGAATAAAGAGACTAAGAGGGAAACGCTTCCTCCCTCCCTCCGAATTCTCCAAGTTTTCTACAACAGTGCCTATCACCTTCGTAATGAGAAGAGATAAAAGGTACTTATATTAAAAGTAGTCAATCTGTACCTGAGCCTTCACGTCAAATGATAACTGTGACAGCCGAGGACATTTTTTTATTGAGCACCTGGTACGTGTCAGATCTCCTCTTGAACTCTCCCACCGTCCGGCTCCTCAGAGGACCCCGCAGGTGGAAGCTGAGCCCCCTGCACCCAGGGTGCTCACCTGAAGACGGCGCTTAGCACACACGTGGCAGAGCTGGGGACGGAACACAGATGCTCCCGACTCACGGGCTCTATTCCCAGAACACCTTCCTGCCTCTTCAGAGTGGACGTTTCTCCTAAATACAATTGATTTCCAATTCAAATATTTTTATCTTGTCTATAGACTCTGGAATTATTTCTGTAAACAGAATTTAGTTTCATATATATATATATATAAAATCACATTTTTGTTTTTGTTTTTAACTTTAATACCCTGTTAACCACCAGCCAAAGTAGAGATCAGCCATATAATTTCGGAGGCCAGGGCTCCTTGTTCAAAAGGATTAGGAATTTTAAGACAGGGGCAGAAGAGTGTTGAGCTTGAGGGGTGACTGCACAGGCCCACGAAGCCGGCCTGGACAGGGTCTTGATGGTTTTTGATAGAGCAAGAGTGACGTGCCCCTTTGAGACAAACTGAGCACCAGTGACCGGGAGTCAGGAGGCAAATGGGTCCAAGAGCAGTTCCCCATGCATTTTCCAGCCCCCAAAATAAAGCGGTTACAGCTCAGGAATGAAATCCCCTGGTGAGAACCCCACGGGAGGGAGCAGATAAGCTTCCCTCCCTGGAAAAGGCCAGGCCCCTGTGTGAGGAGCTTTTGTGTAGAAAGAGGGACACCTACCACATGTTCCCGTGAAATGTCACCCCTGGCACCCAGCCTTCACTGAACTTCATCGCTTTGCTGGATGGAGCATGCTCGGCCGACCAGCCCAGGCTGGGAGAAATGAGAAAAGGTGCCCATGCTTGCTCCTGTGAAAACAGGATAAGAAACTTCATTCCACCCACTCTGGGAAAGCATGTTGAGCATCCCTGGCAGGTGGATTTTCCCCACAGGAGGCCCACGGTGGGCACCAGGGACGGGCAGCCTATATATGGAAGCGGACCAGTATGTGCAGTATGGACAAACGGCTCCAGATGATGGCCCCACCAGCCCTAGGCACGACCTGCCCACCCTCGCCACCTCTACATCCTCAGCTCCGTGACAAGTTCTGGAAATCTCCAGGTGGACGGGTGGCAGCCCTGTGGCTGCTGCCTCTTCCATGAACGGATGTGGATGTCTAGGACCAGCTTCAGAAGGGATCCCCTGCGAGAAGTTATTTGAAGGGAAAATGCGTATCCACTTCAGGGAGAGGCTCTCCAGGGGTTCGAGGCACTGCCCACTTTTCTGGGACAAGAAGCACGTATTCCCCCTTGCCCTCATCCCACGGCCCCCTTGCTCATTTTTCTTGAACAAACAAACAAACAACCCTATTCTCCTAGCCTGAAACAGCCTCTGGAGTCGGGCCTGGGACCGAGTGCTCTCTTCATAAATGTGTATTGCAGGGAAGGACGCAAACTGAATGCACAGGACACAGGGCAGGAGCCTCCCAAGGCCAGGGGGAGGCCGGACCCTCTGTGCCCCTCGGCTCCGGTTCCAGTGCTCGCAGGACCTGGATGCGACCACAGCGCAGATTCATCTGGCTGCCTCCCCCAGAAGTATCCCCAGAACCCTACCCTGGGAGGGTTCTAAGCCTTGCAGAGCCAAGAGGGCAGAAAATGGCGGGCAGCGGCCAGGGAGATCCCAGGAGGGGGTGGCCAGAGCTTCCCCCTCAGGGCCAGGCTGGTGAACCCTCCCCCGTCATACATGGAACATCCATCCACCTAAAGAGCAAAAACAGGGTCCCACATTCACGGGGAGTGCAGGCTGCGAGCGGCTGGGCTCAGGACCTGGTATGGAGCCCAGGTCCTCCCCTGGACACCAGGAGTCCCAGCTGGCCCTCCCTCTGAGAGGGGAACACGGGGTAGCTGCCCCCGTGCCTGACCCAAGCCCATGAGCTGAGGCTATGGGTCTAGAGGGAGCCTGGGGCCTGCTGCTGCCGCCCTGGGGACATGGCCTGAGTGTCAACCACTTTTCAGGGAGCGTCTTGTGCCCCTCCTTCCCCCCATCCCCCCGAAAATTGCTAAGAGCTTTGGCGTGGGTTATTAGACAGACAGATCCCGGATGAGGGTGCCTCAGCCTCGGGAGCTGAGCACGGGGAAGAGGGTGGTTGTTTACTCCTTAAAATAAAAACAAGCCCAAAAGCTCCTGGGTGGAATTTCAAGTTCTCGGGATGTCTGAGTGGCCGGCCCTGTCTCCGCCGTATTTCTTTCCCTGCTCCCCTCTCCCGGTCGCTCTCCCTCTTTGTTGCCAAGCTCAGACGTCGCTGCTGAAACCCAGCCCAGCGCCCGCGAAGCCCGGAAACTTCCAGCTCCGCGATTGTGCGGAAAGTTGGGGTCGCGAGGCCAGGGTGACAGCGGTGCCGCCGGGCCGCGCGGCGCTGA